AATGCAAATTAGGTAATTAATATGCACAGATTTTTACCAAAAACTAATCAAATCTGCACATATGTTCAGAGCATCTATGTACCAAGTTTCATCAACATCCAATGAGTGGTTCTTTAGATATCAGTGGAACAGTCATACATGTAGAACAGCTAAAAATCAGCTAATTATCATGCAAATTAGGTAATTAACGAGCATGGATTTTTACCAAAACCTAATCAAATCTGTGCATTGGCCCAGAGCATCTATGCACCAAGTTTCATCAAAAACCGATGTATGGTTCTTGAGATAGCAGTGGAAGAGTCGGACACACATACACACACACAGACACACTAACTGCAAAGACTCCCATTATGTGCTTCGCACATGGGAGTCAAAAAAGAGACAGCCAACGTTGCTTTAAATGAAATTGTATATTGGAGTGCATGTGTACATATCTGTACATGTATCATACATACCAGCAATCTCTTGTATTACATACGTATTGCATTTCAACAGCTCAGAAAAATCAGATTTGAACCAAATCTATCAAAGAAATATGGTTCCACAACGGCTAGAAATTATTTGCAACTGACAGGCATGGTACAACTTTACAAACTGGTGTCTGTTGTACAATTTCTTTCTTTCATAGTCTGTATATAGTATTCATGTTCTTATTATTTATTCTGCATGAATACTTGGAAACTGGTGTCAGTTGTGCCTATTTAGAAACTGGTATGAAAAATAATGCCACAAATGTTCTAATTTCCCCTTGTATTCATCTGGTGATTAATTACAGTATGGTTTGATTTTCAAATCATGTGACCCAGTGGTAAGATAATCTATACTGCCTATGTTGTGTGCACGCTGCATTTGTCTCTTGTTTTCCATAGAATTTTAAATCTTAAAAGTTAGTTTTGTATTCAATCTGAGAAACGAAATGTGCCTTCAAGAGACAACAGTGCATGGTTGGTTGGTCAATGGAGACATACATAAAATACTAATTTACACAAAGGGCAGTTTTACTTTGTACCACGCTTACCTCAAGTAATAAAGGTCCTAACACATCATTTGCTAACAATGCTGGCTTACTAGAGGATACATGGCATTGCTGAACAGCTCCGTTGGACTCCGCTACTGAAAAAAAAACAAATAACCATGTGTCAAATTCAAAACATTTTAAAACTTTAAATGCCATCAAATTTGAAGTTGCATGTTTTTTTCAGTTAAGCTGCAGGTATGATGGCAGGATCTATTGGTTTAAATTTGAAATTAATGAAAGTTGTTACAAGAACACTGATTGATGAATCCAACTCGTTTAATTCAACTGTGGGTAAATAACAACACACGCTAAAAATGCAAAGGCTCATGGGTAGACGCTTGTTTGTAAACAGTGACACGCTATGGCCATCTGATGCATGCACAGGTGACGACTCCCCCGCTTTAACCCCCCCCCCCCCAAAAAAAAATGCACAAACTATGTATTATTACATGTACTAGTATACATTTTATGGGATCTATTATTCACAGGACACATTGTGGTGACTGTGACATTTTTACATCTCAGTTAATTTGGGAGCTAATATGTTATTATGACAGTAAAACATCAATGCATAATAAATTCCCAAATGAAATCATCTGAAACTGTGCATGAACCCTTCATAGTAGTATCCATATTGAATTACTTGAAAAATAATCTCCATCCATTATATATATACAGCATTCCGACCACTAATAATGTGTAGCTCATCTAAAAACTACAACTTACATTTTCGTGGGAAGACCATTAGAAAATATGCTGAGAAAAAGTGTGCTTTCAATATTCATATTAACGCCAGAGGTAAAACATACAGCATGCAAAGGTTGGCTGTATATATTATTCATCAAGACGAAAACTTTTGATTGTAGAAAGGCTAATAGCACAGTGGTTGTTCTTTAGACTCATTGTGTTAAACCCAGGCGCACAGCGAACCGGAACACTGGATTAAATTGCCAAAGGAGCTATTATGATAGGGTACGGCCGCACAGACCAGTCATGTACTAAAAACATGGAACATAATTTCTGTGGCTAAACGCTCTGTATACACAGTTAGATTTGCATTTGCAATAAGCAACTGTAACATTCAAATGTTTCCAGACACAAAAATATTTTTTTTTTAAATCTATCAACCCTTTTCACCACCAGTTTCCTCTTTTCATTATAAATTCACAAAATAGTTTATAGAATGTACTTTACTTTCCTTTAGAACTGGGACAAAAATAGCTCCTTAGTTTTTTGAGTAAAAACTGAAAATTTACTCAAATTATCGCATGTAAAGAAAATTTACAGACAGTTTATACAGTAACACTTATTAGTTCCATTCAACAGACTGTAGAATACATTTATAATCACGATAAAACTCACCTTGTTGTCGCTTTATAGTCTTGATCTGTTTGACAGTTTCTTGCAATATGGCACATTTATCAGGCTTCACATTGCAACTGTCCATATTCGTTATGCTAGCGGAAATCAACTCGGCTAACTCCTCGATGTAAATGTTCTCTTGCTCTCGCCTTCTTCGCTCATTAAGCGATTTATTACTGTATAAAACGAAATATAAATTTACCGAAAAAGCATGTACACCCCCTGCAGAGATAAAGTACAGTGTCAGTCTACTATCAGTGTAGGATTAATTTCATACTATCTGAGGTTTTCTGATTGGATACAAGAATATGCTGTAAACGATCTTTTTTTTGTCGCCATCAGTTTTAATGTTTTGTTAAAACTAAATTTAGGGATAGCTGTATGTACTGAGATGTGCATGGTATATGTACTCTTATTAGTGGGCTGAACCTGCGTTTAGCTCATATGACACACTGGAACTCCTGAGGGAGATTGAGCTAAACTAACTCTGGGTTAATCTGTTCGCACACGTTTTCTGATAGTGGGTTAAAAATAGCTCTGAAACAAACTTCACATTTTGCTACACGTGTGAACACCAAATATAATGTGACTGACTATTTTAAAGCTCCCACGTAAAATGTTGACATGTAACAAACTCTACAAAAATATATTGCACCTGTCATTTGAGGAGTATAAATGAATCAGAGAGATTAAAATAATGTTAAATATATTATGCTTTCATAAAAATCAAACTTCTATCCGTGATAACTACTATTTTCAGTTATAATTCCATGAGAAAATATTAAAAAAAAATTATCTATATCCATTCCAACAAGCACGGACACCCCCTACAAAACGAGAGGGTCGTCACCTGTGCACATGTAGGAATCGAGTCCCAAGCGATGATAACAACACATGCTACAAATGCAAAGGCTCATGCGTAGATGTTTGTTTGTAAACAATGACACGCTATGGCTATCTGACATGTGCGTAGATGACGACTCCCCCGCTTTAATTTACATAAAGGTGCCTAAATTAAAGTAACACTATTTTTATTGGCATTATATTCAAATAATTTGGTAATAGAAGTAAAATAACAGTAAATTATTCGTACGAGGGGTGCTAAAACTCAATAATAATAGGATGATTCTTACCTCTGTGTTCTATCACTATCAGTTTTATTGAGTAACTTAGACACTTGTGGGTTATTCATATCTCAAAAAATCCGCAATCTAGAGTAGGTTACTGCACTGGTTTTACAAAGTCAGCCCCCTGAAAATAAAAAAGACAGTGAAGAATTTCCCATGTTAATTCACCTATAACATGACTATTTACCCTATATGTAAGGATATTGATATGAAGACAATTAGCTACTCATAGCTACTCATAAGCTTTAAAAAACTGCATATGTTTAAGCACAGGTAACTTTGGTCTATATATATATATACAGTACTCATTCCGCCCAACCTCCCGCTTTTATTGCTTTTTTTTTTTTCGACCGCTTATCGCTTAATTTCCGATTGCTCGCTGCTTTCCGACCGGAAACCGACCGTTTTTTTTTTTCGCTCGCTTTTGTTCGCTCGCTCACTCACTCCTGCTATGGCTGGCTTCAAGAAACATCGTCCGCTTGCCAACCGACCGCTGGAGTAACGATGATCGTACATTGTATCTATAAACTTATGTTTTTATTCGTAATAAATTTATGTTTTAATGACGATTCAAAATATAACGCGTATTGCTTCTCTGTATTGGGAAGGGGGACAAAGACGCCTTCAAATCACTTGACACATTGTAACGTTTGCTACGCAAGTCGAACTGTGACCTGTATTAACATATTTACGTCCTTGTGTGCATAGTTCGCAGCTATATAACTGGTCAATCAATCGCGATATGTATTGAGTACTAGTATTTGTGTGTTGTGTGTGTTTCTGTGTGTGATTTTGACTAAATTTATTCCGAACGGCGCTCAAAATAATTTGACACTTTGTTATTTGCGAACGCAACTCACACCATGACCCTTACTCAATTTGCATAAGTAATATGAATGTTGCAGTTCAGAAATTCTATCGGGTTAACTATTGCTCTATTGTCTGGGTGCGCAAAACAAAACTGCATATATAATCATCGCAAAGCTGAATTTCTACAAATCAATTGGACTTAAACTACTAGTATAATGACTGTGACAATTAATAGCTTGTCTGAGTACATGCGGCGACGAACTATTGGATTGGCAGCAGCCGGACGAAAAATGAAAGAGATCTCGGAACAGTTAATTGTTGATTAAAACATAAAACAAAACAAACGCAGCCAGTGATACATTTCGAAAATAAAAATACGAAATAAACGCAATCAAAGATGCCGACCACGCGCGTTCGAAATAAATAAAACGTGTTGTGACACAGTCTCACCATACTCTTTCACTCGCGCAATATAATTATGTTATTTCCCAAAGAACTTATATTTAATACATTGACAAAAAACACCGCAAGAAAAATGTAAATCAGGCTTGTAATTACTAGTAACTCATCTCGAACGCAATGCTGATTACTGTAAAAGTGGATAAATTTGAACCGTCATCAAATTCAAAATTCAAACGATCTCGTTGAATGTCAATCAGAAAAATAAACTCGATGTTTAGAAAGACAAAAACAACAAATGTGCCATTTCAAAGGGCACCCTTACAAATAATGTCTGCGATTGTGTGAACATGATAACATGCAAACAAGGAACAGAGCTCATGGTCCACCAAAGAAAACGTAGCGATGGTGCAGTTAGATGTATACGGCTGTTGAATACAGACTCCTTCGATCTTTTATGAGCATGTTCACGTGGATGTACCATTTTCAGTTATTACCAACAACACTGTGATAATAAAGACTTTCCGTTTTCGACATTGTGAAATTCTTTTGTTTTTATGTGGAAAAATACAGTATTTTTACCAAGTAAAATCATATTTATTAAAGTTATTGTTCATACATGAGTTGTCGAACATACTACATAGTTTGTAATTTCATCTAGCTCCTTTCAGTCACAATTCAAGACAAATAAAAGGCACAAATATAGATAATATAGCAAATTATTTTTTTCTGTAATATTCGTGTGTAATCAGTAATTATGAAAATAATTTATGGGTACATATGGAATACATTTCGTTCTGAATTATTCTTAATTTACATTTCTTAATTATCTTGTCAAAATCAGTTTTTTTCAGGGTTTTTCTCCCAAAAGACAAAAGAATTTCATAATGTCGGGAACGGGAAGTCTTTTTTTTTATTATTATTTATTGGGAACGAAAAGTCTTTATCGTAGTGCTTCGCCTCGGTTGACAATGAGCTTTTCAGGTCGCTAAAACTGTATGTCCACCTCTGTTGGGGTGAACATTTGTATTATTATACCCAATAAATCTTAAAACAGAAATTGTGGCACTCAATCATGGCAATCTTCCAGGTCATCATTAGAAAGATTTTCGGAGGCAAATTTAATCTCCACTCAAAGCTATCTTGAAGGATTGCAGGAAATTGACCCTTACCGATTCATATTTATGAATTAATCGGGATTCAGGTACCATAGTGTTTTGTAACAGAGTATTCCTAAAGATACGCAAAAAAAAAAGAAGAAAAAAAGAACTTTCGCGTGGGATTTTTCATGCAAACATTGTCAATGGTTCCCCGACACTGATTCTTTTTTAACTTTCAATTTTTCCAAGACGCGGCAAACCCTGCTCATGACCGAAGGCGTCGTCGAGATGCAGGTGCGATTCCTCTTAGCAACGCATTCTATTTATTTCCAACGTGTGTGGTCGGCGCCTTTGATTGCGTTTATTTTGTTCTTTTATTACGCAATCTATCACTGGCAGCGTTTGTTTTGTCGC